CTGCCATCGCTTCGGCCACGACGAGACCCAGTGCGTGCGCAGTTACGCAACAGGCTCCGGACGAAGAGAAGCTATGGAAGAGCATTTCATGAACCAGGCTGACGCGGAGGCAACCGTCATGGAGGGGCGGTGACTTGGCGAGGACTGAAGGTAAACAGCAGGCGGCACTCTCCATCGAGATCAAGGACAAGAACGAAGGTGCGGCTGGAGCCGCCGCCAGCACAAAGGAGTCAACGGAAAGGGACAAGGCAACAGCGAAGAAGAACGTTCCCGAGGAAATCAGCGAGCCTGGTACGGACGTACCAGCTAAGGACCCCACCGACACGAGCAAAACTCTGCGTGAGTGGTCGTTAAAAGGCCGCTTGAGGTAGATGAAGGGAACGACAAAGGGGCAGCTTCTGCCTGTGAACCACTTCCGAAGGTGCCGTTCGTCAGGCGACCAACCTTGAAGGTGCAACCTAAGGTGCCGCCCGCGAAGAGGTTGGCATCATCAGCAGAGAAAAAGGCACCGCCAGCAGACCCACCTTAGCGGGTGTGGTGGTTTGCGAGACTTCCCGACTGAGCTGGGTATATACGTGCCGTGTCGGAAGTTGAAAATGTGCGCCGCCAGGGAAAATACTCGGGCCTCGCCTGAGAAGGCCACGCCACTTCAAGCAAAGCGTCAATTGATGCAAGTCTGCCACCCGATAATATGAAATAGTTGCAATGAGCGAAACCTGTGTCATCCCTCTCGGTTTCTCCGAATTCGGGCTTTGCACTGAAGATAGGCACCTTAAATATACGTAGATTAGTGGTGCAAAGGTAAAATCAAACGCAGTTAAAGAGAATGCTAATACAAAATGACGTAGACGTATTAGCATTGCAAGAATCTAAGATTGAGAGCATTGAGCAGGTGGATCGCATGGTGAACCTTTTTAAAGTTCGTTATAATGTATGTGTATGCCATGCCGTTGCGAAGTCTGGGGGGTGCATTTTATTCTTTAAGAATTCTATTGGTATCTTTGAAGAAAGGCTGGTGATTTCTGATGATGGAAGATTAGTTCTGTGTGATCTTGCTTTATGCAGAAAAGAATAGCGAATCGCTTGTGTATACGCCCCAAACATAGCCACCGACAGGAAAAGTTTATTATTATTATTATTAAATTAATAATATTATTTTATTATGTAGCCAACTTCCATAAGTGTGATGGAGTTGTTGTATTGCTCGGAGACTTCAACTGTTTTTGCATGCCCGAGGATAGTGTTAAGAATGCCTTAATTCGCGATAAAAGTGCCCTGCAGTTGTGTGGAATAACTCAAGAGTGTGGTTCAGCAGACATTGGTGATGTTCTCCGAGGTAGCTATGTGCACTTTACACATTTTCAGTATCAAAGCCATGCTAGACTAGATCGTGTATATGTTGTTGGAAATATCGTGCATTTATGCGCAAATTATACCCCTGTCACACGTGGCAACTTAAGTGTACTTCAAGCGAGTACACTTGGCCGCGAGTCTGATTTAAGCGCCGTCACGCGAGCAAGTTTAGTGTCACTCGATGCAAAGTACACCTACAGGCAAGTGTGTTCCCCAACCTAACTTCGCTGCGACCAAGTGTATAGCCTTGGTACCAGTGGCTTGCACAGAAATACGCTGTTACCCAAAGCGGCGCTCATACTATTTTAAACTATTGTTTTCGTTATAAATGATACTACTATATACTAAAACAGGTCATAAACCAACAAAATTTTCGCTACTTTCCCTCTCTCTCTGCTTGAGGTGCACTAGCACATGCGTAGGTGAGTCGTTTCTAGTCGTTTACAGTGGCGTGTGTCACTGGAGCTACTTCCACGAAGACAACGTAGTCAAACGATGAGACATAGGTGCAAAAATAACAATTATATATTGTTCTACAAACCCAACAATCACCACTATCATTACTTCCAAAGTACACTTCGCTTTCTCGTGTAGCAGCGAACCGCCAAAGTGCCACTTTGTGAGCGTAAGTACACTCGCTCAAAGTGCACTTAAGTTGCCACGTGTGACAGGGGTGTTATACCTGGAAACATATGGTAGCTGTAGAGATCACAGTCATATAATGCTCGAAGAAAGCAGGAAAAAGAGAAATCTGAAGTTTAACTCGGACCTACGGAAGTTAAACGAAAAACCCTTCAAAGACGCTACTTTTGTGAAAGTGGTGAGCCAGAAGGCTGGGGATGCTGCTTTAAATAAGAAAACGAGCGCTACAGAAGTCTGGGAACAATTTAAAGATTAAGTTAAAATCATTCAAATCATTTTAAAATCGGCAATATCAGTCCAAACAAGACTGACGGCATGTTTTCTCTCCTTATTATATGCACTATCTGATGGGTCATGTTGTAATTTGACCAAAACAGGCAATAAATTAAAAAAAGCAGCAGAGTAGCGCAGTGGAAGCGTGCTCGGCTCATAACCCAGAGGTCCATGGATCGAAACCACGCTCTGCTATGTGCTAGTTTTCGTTTTGCGATACATTTCTTATAATGGTGCGATAAAAGCTGAAGCACGTGTGTTTCACCCGCTGGGTTACTCTGCATGGAGTCCGCGCGTGGGTAGACACCACGCCCTACTATATGGATGTTTTCTTGTGCGCAACTTCTTATAAGGGTTTGATGAAGCTTTTTAGGCCCATAACCTCGCCGAGGTCCGTGATTTAAAGACGCACGACAACTTACGTTATTTAGCCACGTGACTAGATACGCGATTATGTGACAAGATTGCGTGCAAGTTTTAGCAAAGTGACTAGCTGTTACGTTTGCGACGGGTTCGTCATTTTAGTCTCGTGACGAAGTTATGCAATTCATCACGTGAGTAGAAGTTACGCGAGAATAACGAGGTTTTAGTGGCGAAGCTCCTTAAAGCGACACCCGTTCGTCTCTTGTCGCAGTCGTAGTGCATATTCAGTTTTGCGCTTTGACCTGCAAGGTGGTGGCAGTGGGAGATTTCTCCTGTGTGTTGTTAAACAAAAAATTCGCAGCGTGCACGTTAACTAAAAGCCGAATTCTCCTGTCTCTCATTCTCAATTAGCAGCCATTGGCATGTACATTGAGCACTATCTGACAAGAAAGAGTTGCTAGGCTATACTCGCTGGGCGTAACCTCCTTGGTTTTGGAAATGTTTAGCGCTGTTTTAGAAAGGTTTAGGGCCGCAGTACCATGAATACAGTGAACTAGTATATACCATGAAGTCAAGCTGGTTAATGGTGGGAAGTAGACAAGAAGCGCAAGCAGTAAGAAAGTGTGCAAGTGCCATCTCTCGTTTAGTCCTTGGAATGCCCGCTAGGTGGCAGTGGTTCTATATGCGGAATATATGATGTAAATATGCCAGATGGTGGTACTTGGAGTGTTGACTAGATGGACGAACGGACACACAGACGGATGTATGCACGAATGGCTGCGCGGACGGATGGACGGACGCAGGGGCAGATGCATGGACGAACGCAGGGACGGACGCACGAACAGACGGGCGGATGAACGCACGGACGGTCACACAGACGGGCGCATATATGAAAAGATGCGAGATGGTGGTACTTGGAATGGTGTCTAGATGGACTAACGGACACGCAGACAGATGCATGGGCGGACGCATGGATGGCTGCACGGACGGATGGACGGACGCAGGGGCGGACGTACGAACACTAGCGCACAGGCGGTCACACAGACGGGCGCATATATGATGAAAAGATGCGAGATGGTGGTACTTGGAGTGTTGTCTAGATGGACGAACGGACACACTGACAGATGCATGGACAGACGCACGGATGGATGGACACATGGACAGATGCACGAACAGACGCGCGCACGGACGGGCGGATGAATGCACGGACGGTCACACAGACGGGCACACATATGATGAAAAGATTCGAGATGGTACTTGGAGTGTTGACTAGATGGACGAACAGACACACAGACAGATGCATGGACGGACGCACGGATGACTGCACGGACGGATGGACGCATGGACGGACGCAGAGGTGGATACATGGACGAACACAGGGAGGAAAGCACGAACAGACGCGCGCACGGTCGGGCGGATGAACGCATGGATGGTCACACAGACAGGCACATATATGATGAAAAGATGCGAGATGATGGTACTTGGAGTGTTCTCTAGATAGACGAACGGACACACAGACAGATGCATGGACGGACACACAGATGGCTGCACGGACGGATGGACGTATGGACGGACGCAGGGGCGAATGCATGGACAAGCGCAGGAATGGACGCATGAACAGGCGCGCGCGGACGGGCGGATGAACCCACGGACGGTCGCACAGACAGGCGCATATATGATGAAAAGATGCGAGGTGGTGGCACTTGGAGTGTTGTCTATATGGACGAACGGACACACAGACAGATGCATGGACGGACGCACGGATGGCTGCTTGAACGAATGGATGCATGGACGGACGCAGGAGCGGATGCATGGACGAACGCAGAGACGTACGCACGGATGGTCACCCAGACAGGACGCATGGTCGGACGGAAGCAAGAACGAATGGCCGGACCGATATTTTGCCCCACTCTTCATCATTCACCCCGTAGATATGCTGCCATTTTTTTAGTCATGCGAATAGTTGATACGTGATATTTCGTGACTTCTATCAGGTGTCTATAATTACGTCATGCGAATCTAGTAATGTGGGCAGTATTACATACCTGATTCAGTCACGCAACTAGTCACGTGATGCTACGACTTCCAGCCATGCGACTAGATGTTCTGCGATTTTTAATCACTCAACATACTCGCCCATTGTAGTTATTGTATTCCGTGGCCAGACCTATAGACGCAAGTTCACTGTGGTAGCGAGGCAGAAGTTGAAGAAAAGAACGAGGCAAGTGCATACGAAAAGTTTTACGAGCTCTGCTGCAACACTTTTTTCTGCACATTTTATTCAATATGATGAACAAAAAAAACAAGATAGGAAACAAGCAACAACACGATGCCGACCACCGAGTGCCAAACAAAAGGGATGACAATGATTATTATAGAATTTATTTATTGTTTCTCTATAGCCCCTTCCTTTATTATTTTTTGTACACAATGAGAGATGGCAGTCACTTAATCACACAAGGCATTAGTCACGAAGTTCCTTTCTGCCTTTGTCTTCCAAGAACACACTGCAGCACAAGGCTTCCACGCAGAAGATACATGTGTCGCAGTTGCCCGCTAGGTAATTGCTCTTGCATACCTTCACCAACACCTCGTCCCCCTTTTCCCATCGCTGTGAGAGTACCTCCTTACAATGACACCAAGAGTTGAAAAAACTTCATTATAAGGATAAAGAAATATCGTGTCATAACTGCAACAAGTTTTCGCAATTTACAATGAAGATCAGAAACTACACAATGCACATAAAATGATAAAAAAAAAGGCAGCCGCAACAAAATGAACTTCAGGGCCTAACATTGCTAATGATGGCAATTGCATCAGAACAGTTGTAGAAACAAACTTGATCAATTGTGGCATCAACATGCATGATTTAAAAACTATCAACTCATCAGTGCACAATCATTAGTGAACAAAAAGGTATGAAGTGCATTTCTTGGTAGGTTACTATAGGTTACAAAGAGCACTTATTTAGCCAATGAAGTGGGTGCCTTCATCAATAACAAGACACCTTTGATAAGCATTCGCTCTAACACCAGCAAATGGCAAAATGCTGTATATAAAACAAAGTCTACAACAGAACAGATTGTCTTCTCTCGGGTGCTGCAATTTTTTTATATTTAAAAGTAAGAAATCTGCAGTTAAATATGGATAAACTTTCAAGGCATGGTCGGTAAGCTTTGAAATTGGTAAACATTAGAATACGCGATGAGCTTAGCATGATTTCTTGAAGGGAAACTAGAGGCAACTATTAGGTCAATGTTGAGTGTTGAAATGACAGTTCAGAAATTTCATAGTGTTACTTTTGTGCCAAGGAAGTGCTTAACTTGAAATAAAATCACGTTTTAGTGACCCACATAAAATCGGCACACTTCAATTTACCTGCCCAAATGGTCTTACTTCACTGCTGCCGTGAACAACGTTGTCCAGCTTTACTGCGCGGCTGCTGACCCTAGCAGCAGCAGAATGAAAGCAGCTGGAGCCACAGCAGCAACAACGGCGATTCAACAATTTCCTACCATTCGCTCATAGATGGTAGACATTATTGGGTTCAACTGGGCCCCGTTAGATAGCGCAACCTGTCCAGTTTAGCCATGCGAAAATTGAACTTTTCAATCACTCGCGCCTTTCCCAACAGTACAGTAACGTCCTGCGGTCCTTTTTTACGTGAACAGAAACGAACAAGCAGCGTTTTATTACCTCTCTTGATGCACACAAGGTTCTTTATTTAGTGCGGCTAGCTCGATTACTAGTGATTAATTGTAGGCAGTTTGTCTGACGTTATCGAGATCATTTTGAGAATGTCCTACACCGGCGCGTGTATTCTTGTGCATTTACCGAGACATCTCCGTAAGAAGAACATTGCTCTTGATAATATTGTCATTTTAGATGCTATGCATTGAGCTTTTACTCTGATGTAAATTATTATTTGACTTCAGCGTCCCTTTAAATGCACAGAGCATCGCTATACAATTCTCTGTGGATGCACACGTAAAACTTGCTTGAGGCAATGTGGACATCAATGAACATTCGATGCAAAGAAGCAACCATTCAGTATTAAATATTCACACAATCAAGTATTTACAGCCATACTGACAGAACATATATCCAAGCATTTTACACCCACATATAATAGCCATCAACATCTCCTCAAAACAAAACACCTTCAGTGCACGGAGCCAATAAACTCAATACTTTATTTTCTCTCAAAAAAACAGAAAACAACAAAGGAACACAAATAACCACTTAATCCTAAAGAAAGCTTTTTACAGAGCCGACAGAAACATGACATCTTGAACTCGTTTTTACAAACCACCACGAAGACAACAAAGGACAATACATAAAAGAAGGGCTGGATACAACAGCTAAGTTGATGCCCAAGTTTCTCATCTGCATACAATTATTTTCTAGTATTGCTTTTACATACATTTCTCCATCGGGCACATAAATAGAAGGTTCATTTCAGGCTAATGTTAGACTATGTCTATGTAGACAATGTGTCGTCTCGCACAAGTCGATTCGATAACCTACACACAAGCATACAAACATCTTTCATAAAGCCAATCTCACGTTTGTACAACTCTGGCAATACTGCGGAGACTAAGCACTGGAGACACCATCCGCAGGTGCCTACAAAAGAGGCTCAACATTCAGCAGCCAGCCATGGACCGTGAAAAGGAGCGCTCAAATGCCTCACATAAAAAAATAACGACTACTCGAAAACTTACAATGAAAACAATTATTTCCAAACAAAAAGCCATGAAAAGACAATAATGAAGTGAACGAAAGCATGAGCGACAGTGATTTTATTTTTTCATTCAAGTTAAGTGATTATGAGACAACGAAAAATAAATCTGGTTAGAAAAAAAAAACGAATTTGTTGCTGATGGAGACAGACTACCAACGACATAGTGCAAGGGTTCTGGGTTCGGTATTCATTTGCAACAGAACTGGTTTAAAGTCGCTACAAATCTGAATATTGTCAACTCTGCCTGAACTAGACATTTCCGACAAGACTAAGTGGAACAGGCAAGTTATATCCTACCAGAATACGGAAACTTCAGGTCCCTTTTTGCAACAACTGCTTGCGTTCCACACTACACAAGCTCTGCATGGCTCGCACTCCGCATTCCAAAAGCTGCTTACTCAATGCGATGGACAACCAGAAACTAGTAGTTACTATGGCAAAAGAATTTTGCCCTCAGACGCAACCACTGACTGTCTTTTAAAAATTAACAGCGCCTTGTAACTGTGATGATCGCCATTGAGAGCACGTATTTGTTTTGATGTTGCCTGGCTCACATCTTCTGTCTAGGCTCGCATCCTAGAACAGGTTGAGAAAAACGAGAGCTGTGGTTAGGGAACCAATGCTAGGAAAAAGGTGTGCCTAATTTTATGTAGACGCTTTCTACGAGCCTTGAACAACACCACTGCCGAAGAAGCAGGCAGCAAAACAACTAAAGATTATTAATGAACAAATGTACTCCAATTCTGGCTATTCACTACTCATACACACGAATATGACAACTCAGTGTGTGTGCTACATTTAACACGTCAATGAAGCTCTGTGATGTTCGGTTCAGCAGGAAGGAATGCAGTTGGGCAGGTAGTTAGTGCACAATACGCTTATAAAGACTTATTAACCATGCAAGAATAAACACTTCTGTTTGAGCGCAATTCACCGAACAGTACATACATAACATTTCTAGTACAGCTAGTACTTTCGTCACTGGCAGTGATGGAACACTGGCACTACCACTGTACATGGACTACTACCAGTATTCCATAATGGTACCCTAGTGCACCCCCTTACCCCTACCCCCCCTTGTTCGGCACGTTAACAAGGTACCCGCCTTACCAATCATACAACCTTTTACGACAGTGTGGTGGAGGGGCGAGCAGAATAAAGTCTCGCACACCCCTGTGTTCAGCATCTTAAGACCTCTGATAGTATAAGCAATGGAATAAAATGATCAATAACCAAGCACTAGTGTTGGATGCACTGCACTGGCATATAAAAAAAAAATAAGCCATGGGTTATAACCTGACAGGGTTCTTTTTCCCTTCAATATCTTCTTTCTTTATTGAAATAATTGTTTGGTGGCTGTTAGCAATCACCCCTAGAACAGCTAGAACAATGTACCAGGGCCCACTGGACAATCACTGCATAAACAGCTAGTTAGCTGATGGCAGCAAAAGAATGCTGCAACATTGCTTGCATTCTGATCAAGTAAGCCAGAAGTGGCATACTTGAGGCAGAGGAACCAATCATATTTGTGCTGCGAAGCGCATCCGGTACCAGTATAAGCAGCCTGCCATGTGATCGCCTCAACTGATGTCATATCAAACAATCACTCCTAGTAGAGACAGCCCAAAGGAGCCTGCCCATTACATCTGCTATGAATGACTCATCTCCATAGCATTAGCTTACAACCATACATATAAGCCAGTGACAAAGGCCAAGAAAAAAACACAATGGAGATGGAGTCTTCACATATCCAACGCATTTACACAAACTTCCTCTAAATCGAGAGAAAAGAAAAACAAAACAACCAATCCAAGTGCACAGCTAACATTCACTTTCAAACAACGAATTTGCGTTTACTCACAAATGCCCTCGAACTTTCGAAATTGCACGTGCCTGCCAGGCACTTCACGACACGCAATCTTGCTCAGTCATAAAAGCTCCTAATGTAGGTTACACCCACACTCAGAAGGTTCTCTCATTCAAAGCAAGCACAGTCGCAGTAAAGCTGGCTTCTTTGCAAGCCCTCATCCTGACACACCTCATTTCCCATGACGAACAAACAGATGAGCAAAGAGACGTCCATGCCATTTCAAATAGGCAAATAGGAATCATAGCTTGTTGAGGTAGGAAGCCCAGAAAGCTCGACAAAACGTCTACTACCGGAGCACGAAGCAAAACAGTTTCATCATGTCGTACACATCCATGTGCGCTTTGCAATGTGCTCTGCGAAGCTTCAAGTGTAACCTGCAAATGCTGCTGCACATACTAAACCACTGCAGTTTATACACTAAAAAAAGGAAGTACAGCAGTATGCAGTAACTCAGTGAACATATCACGCACATTTTTTGCAGGATATCACTTAGCACGTAAATTTGTATAAGATGAGCTCGCTATTCACACTGTCGTGCATCTAGTTGCAAAGAATGGTGTAGCTACAAACAGAAGCAAATGAAGAAAAAAATATGCTGGCAGCGCAAAAAGTGGAAAGAGTAGAGGTGAAAGGATGTACGCCAAATAAGCCTATCGTTTTTAAGTTTAATTTGTTCACGCTTTCATGCAGTAAATCAACAGATTGTTTAATTACACACACACTGAGGCTTCGAGTTTAAAGTTGAGCGTGTGCAGGCCTTCGCTGCATGCCTTTAGCCTATCATGTACCACACTAAGATCTCATGAGGATGTCTGGTTAGAGTTGATCAGTTGCCATGCTTCATTTCTTAAACCTGTGTGCAGAGCTCGCCGAGTCGTTAGCTTGCCTTTGATGCACTTCATCTTCGTTGCGAGTGAAGTCCTTTCGTCGGGTCGCTTGGATCGCAGAATCCCGGGTTTCGACACCATCAAATATGGAATAAAGGTGAATTTGCCGGTAGAGTACAAAAAAACAAGGGTTTTAATGACTCGAAGAGATAACAAATGCGTCCATGTCTTGCAAACACTCGTTCGCCACTCCCCATGCACACGCTTTCCTATCGTGCCCACACTTCGTTCTCTTCTTTCTTGGTCCACAAATTCAACAAAATTTAACATCATACTTTAAGAGTACACTAAATTATTGCATTTTAAGTTTCTAATAACTAACTAATGTTAGCACATACCTTATTTTTATTACCTTATTATGCTGTATTTTTGTTAAGTCCACCCACCTTCTCTGTAAGACCTTTCCGTCTCCTCAAGGTAATGTAATTAAATAAACAAGTAAGTAAGCATGACTGACACTGAAAAAAAGAAAAAGCCCCAATCAAGGAAGCGCAGAAAGGAGGCCAGATTAAATCGAGCTTTGCCCAAGAATTCTGCCTCCCCACATCTAGGCTTTCAATGCCGGTAAAAGAGTCCGAGTGTCTAGCCAGCACAAGCGGGTTTCATGCTCAAGGTTTCCAGGTGTCGAAGCAACACTAATGGGCGTGGCTGCGAAATCCGAGAGCAGCCAAGTTTCCAATTCCCACAACACTGAGAACAAAAAGGGCAGGTGCCATAGTCCGGCAAATGGGCAACGTTGATTACACCTGTAGAAATGGCTGCCTTAGCGAAACTTGATTTTGAGCAGTGCGAAAGTAGCAGTGTCGATTTAGTCACTCAACAGCTGTCCATGAGCGGTGCCGACACATGCTCTAAACAATTTTTGGTGCAGATGAAAGGTTGATCGGGGAAGGGAAATGCGTGAAGAAAGGAAGCCTTCCGCAGATTTCTTTTTCTGCGTAAAAAAAATGGCACTGCAAAATGGTGGCGTTTGATATATCTGGCATGCTGTAAACTTTTTTTTTCTGAAAACCTCTAGCGAGAGCCAGCTTAGAATTTCTTGTCAGAAAACTGGTTAGAAAGCGACACATTTTTCAAAAAGAACTCTACTTTTCACTGCTATTTTCACGACGTCCCTAATCTAAAAACTCTGCTGTCATATCTTAAAATCTTTCTTAGTTCTTATGGTTTTGAGTTAATGAGGTATTCTTGTACCTGCTCCAGTTTTATGTCAGTGCCCAATATGCAGTAGTATGATTTGCTACCATTTCACTACTTAGTGACATTTCCACCCCCTGACAAATTGTTGAAATGCCGTTGTCAACCTTGCTGACAGAACCAGACCACAGTAGCTTGCAGCAAGTATGTCACCAGGAACAAGCTGAAGTGCACATAATCAATAAACAACATAAACTCTACTCTATTTGCACAGCAGCGCTGACGACAAACTAGGCACTGCATGACTAACAAACTTATATACTTCGACCTTTATCTTTCTCCTTTCAAAACAACACCGTTACAAAAATACAATCTCCTCACCACAACTCAACAAATAAGCGATCACTGAAAGTGCTAATTGGGTAATCCACTAGCACATTATACTTTGTGCTAATTAATAAACAATTATTTTATCTGCTCAGAAAATACCATGGCGTGCTTGCAACATAACTTTTGTTTGTTATATTAACTTACTCCCTGAAAGACTGCTACACCTAAAGAGAGGGGAGGCCAGTGTAAGGAAGGAACAGAACAAAAGGATAAAGGTCGCTCCACACATGAATGCACAGACATAGTGGAATATCAATCAAATGAGATCAATGGTTGCTAGCATTGCTGCAAAGTTCCCAGCACTAGCACGTGTACCAATTAGTGGAGGCGCCACTGCTGCTTGCCGCGTCTAAGCCCAAGCCACTGGGGCCCGGCACAGGCTCGTTGTTGGAGGATCCCGACGACAAAGACGACGAGTCAACCGACGTGTCGGTGCCACCAATGGACTGGTTGGTAAAAATTCCAGGACCACGCAGCATCGTCTGCGTCCCCGTCGTCTGCGTCTGCGGCAGCGCTGTCTGCGAGGCGGTTGACAACACCTGTTGGAGAGCGAACGAGACGTTACGAAGCTTCTATCTGCACACCTTAAGGGGTCCCCTGGCAACCCTTTCTGAACACGGTCAGCAAATGTTGCCAATCGGTAGTCGATGCCCTCGTTAGCACAAGGCAGATAATATAGTGGTGCATGCGACTAGGAATTTCCGATTAGTATGTGTTGAAGACAGCTGGAAATCACTCGCTCTTCTCTCGGTAAGTTACATGATTGATGAACGTCATTACAGAAAAAAATGTGGTGATTGGCCGGTTTGGTCTAGAGTACACTTGCTCAAGGTCATGATTCACTGACGTAGCATCCTGCCCTGTTGTCACCAACCCCATTGTAGCTCCCAGCATTCTATTAGGGACAAAAGAAGAGCAAATGCACTTAAGGGGGGGCGCGGCAAGTAAAGTGCTGATTTTGGTCAAAATATGCGATTTTCTGATTTATTTTTTTTCGTAATCTTCAGACCTTCAACTTCCTTGTTCTAAAATATTACAGCGAAACGTGCGCTACAAATCCCGCAAATAGTGTTTTTGCCGAGGCTAGTCGCCGAAAAGTGCGAAAAAAAAGCCCCTGAAACGGTGTTGTTCACGCCGCACAAACGCGCCAAGTTGTTGACCGTGGGCCGCCATTTTGGTAGCTTTGGAAAGAGGAGAAAGCCGGCTTCCCGATGGTCGCGGTCTCGTATTTCACCGAGTGAAAATAAAAGCGCGAGGAGCAAGTAAAAAAACGAAAACGAAGAACGGCAATTGGCTGCGCGGGTCACGTGGTAGCAGGCGCGACCTCTTACTGGTCAAAGCTGCGCCGCGCACCTTGGCAACCTTGGAAGCGCGAGCGCATCTGCGGCCGCCGAGTCGAGAATCATTCGGCGTGCGCTTCGTTTTTTGCCAGTTGGCTGTTTTTGTGATAGTTCGCGTGCTTTTTTTACCAAGCTTTGTTTACATCGGTGGTCTCTTCTGAGTGCTTGCTCATACTGCGGTGCTATGTTGTCGCAAAAAAAGTTCCGGAGCGTCCACAAGTACGGCAAGCGTCGGAAAGCTTGGAACAAAGGGCAGACGACTGCGGCTGCCGTCGCAGTTCCGGACGGAGCATGCTCTTCAAGCGTCACGGAGCCTCTACTCAGACCCTTCGCTGATTGTTGTGAGGCCGAGAGTGTGGAAGGTGCCACATCGTCGTATGTCAGACCGCCGGATGCCGTCGACCGTGATGGACGCTCTCGCGAACCCGATTGCGGTGGCACCGCGTCGGCAGCCGTTGCAACTCCGGGCGTGCGCGCGTCGAACATTCTATCGCGAGTTTCGGCCCAGATTCCGAGCAGTGAAGAAATCGCGCAGCGGGCGCAGACAAGGCGGGATGTTTTGGATGCCGTAGCATCGAAATCCGCTTCAAAGCGGAAGCTCGAGCTTCTGAACGAAGGCTGCGACGAAAATGACGGCGGTAAGGACTCCACATTCTTCATTGTAAATAAGAAGATGCTGAACGGTCTGCTTTTGTCAGTAAAGTGCAACAAGTGCGACGAAGGGTCGATACGCCTCGAGACTACGCACTGCCTTGGACTCGCGGCGAGGATGGAACTTTTTTGTGACAATTGTGGCATAGTGAACAGTGCGTGGTCGTCCCCGAGGTGCTCCGGGCAACAAAAAACGAACCCCTTTGAGGTAAACGTGCGTGCTTTGAGGGCTGTGCAGTCAGTTGGCAGAAAACAATCTGCCATAAATGACATTTTTTCTGCGATGGACATTTCGCATCGAGCACTGCACCACAAGTCCTACCAGAGACTGCAAAGGAAGTACAGCCACCCTGCCACCACATCAGCTGCCACCCGCATTGAAGCAGAAAGTGCACAGAAGGTGCATGACATTTACAAGGACCTAGGAGGAGTGCCAGGCAACATTGACGTCATTTACGACGGCACGTGGATGACGAGGGGGCACAGAAGTCGTATTGGCGTGGGCTGTGTAATCGAGCTGTACACAGGCTTGGTCTTGGACCACTGTGTCCTGTCCAACTACTGCCAAGGCTGTGCTGTTGGCCCCAAGCCTGGTGACGACAACTATGAGGAGTGGCTTGAGAAACACAGGCCACAGTGCCAAAAGAACACCGATGCTAATGCAGGCCAAATGGAAGTAGAAGCAGCGAGGATCATGTTTGAAAGATCGTTTACCAAGTACAAGCTTCGATACATCAATGTGCTCTGCGACGGTGACAGCCGTACGTACCTTGCCCTCACGCAAGACAAGGTGTATGGCTACATGTTGATTAAGAAACAGGAGTGTGTGAACCATGTGAAAAGAAGAATGGGCACTTCCTTGCGCAACCTTCTTGATGAGCACAAATCCAAAGGCCGAGGACTGAGCATGGGTGGCAAAGGCCGGCTGACGCAGGGCCTTATAAAGAAGTTGAATTATTATGGCTGGGCCATTAAGAGCCACCCCAACGATGTTCCTGGCATGGAGAGGGTTATCATGGCCACTTATTACCATGTAACATCCACAGACCAGGATCCACACCACGACCTGTGCCCAAGTGGGACTGACTCCTGGTGCCCGCACAATCAGGCATTGGCCAAGGGAGAGCCGCTGCCGCCTCACAAACATAAACTGCCCCCTCACGTGCGAGTGGCACTGCTGCCAATCTACAAGCGCCTCTCGAACAAAGAGCTCCTTGAAAGGTGTGCGCAGGGAAAAACCCAGAACGCTGTGGAGAGTATGAACAGCCTCATTTGGTCACTCCAGTCCAAGAGCCAGTTCGCCTCCCTTCGAAGTGTGGAAAGTGCAGTTGCAGATGCAGTCTGCCGTTTCAATGGTGGCTGCAAGAGTGCGCTGCAAGAGATCACTGCTCAACTGGGCTTCAATCCAGGAGACTGCTCTTTGCGGCGAGCAGCCGAAAAGGATGCCAAAAGGGTGAAGAGGGCTCAAAAGGCGCATTGTTCCACGACAAAGAAGCGCAAAACTGGGTTGCGCTCTACAGAGGCCAAGGCCACAGCATCTCAGGATTACTGCCCAGGAGGATTCTGAGTGTTTTAGGCATGTTGTGAACTTCCAAACAAGAGTGAACTTTCAAAGTCAGTTTTCTCAACTCTTGATTTTCGCCTATGTGCCTTCGCTAGAACATCTGTCATTTTTTAACAAAGACTGATAGAGTCGTTCCGTTTTTTGCACTAGGCTCAGGAGGCCTTTAGCAGTGCAATAAAGCTTTATCTCTCTTCTTACTCATCATTTAAAATTTTTAGAACACATTTTATAATTACTGCGATGTGTGCGCAAAACAACATCCATGTTTTGGAAATTTTATTTATGGTTACAAGAACTAGAAAAATCAACTAATAGCTTCTTTGCACAAGTTGATGCTTTGGGAACATAATAATATGAAAAAATAATTTCATTTAGCAATAATTATCTCTTTAAGTGTGAAGAGCATTAATTAGTATAATTATGCTTGTAACTCAAAAAGTACAAGAGGTATTTGAAAACGGTTTTCATATTTGGAATCCTCACAATCATCCACATACACACACCAAATTTCATCACAAACAGTACATTAATAAAAAAATTAGTTTTACTTGCCACGTCCCCCCTTAAAGCATGCAATGAATGCCCCAACTCCATTCGTGTTGGTGGACACAAGAAATGTTTGCTGAAATTAATTTGTGAAGCAACTGACTCCAATTCAGATGCCATTGCATTATTGCTTGAAAAAGTGTTCCATGCATCAAGGTAAAAGAGAAATATGAAAGGCACGAAAAAAGATATGTTTTAAGAAAAAGTATTTTTGAGCACTGGACAGCACCACGAAAAATCACACCCTAGCTCACCAGCGAGCCTCATCAGAGGGCGCGCTGTCTGCACTTGCACTGTGTCCGCTTGCACAAAAGGGGGTGTCGTACCCCATTAGTGGCGACATTAAGACTCCCACACAGAAAATAAATGTGGGCTACATGCCGGTGGTACGTTAAACATTTGCAAGAGAGTCAATGCCATGCTGGAAATTTGCTAATGTTCAACACACCACAACTTCTGTTCAAATTTTTTTAGAACATCTGTTGTAGTTTGATTATATAGTGTTTTCATTTGAGCTTATTGTGCTATGATACATTTTTGCTGATCTCTCAATTCAGAAAAAAAATCCTTGCACCCAAAAAAGGCACATGGGAGCTTTCATTTATTAAACAGATATTGCACAAGAAAATTGAATGTATGTTTAAAATCAGCACATATAACATAAGAAAACTTCATAAATATCAAAAGAGAATTACTTTTTTTTTTTTTTTTAAAGCAGAGTCCCCTTTTAAAACATAACCGTTCTCTGTCCAGTGCTTCCTACAATTGCCCCGTGGCTTGCATAGAGCACCAGTTAAACATTCACAAGCAGGACACATATTGAATTTGTGCTTGTGGCCTATGATATGAACAGACATACCTGGTCAACAGCTCAATCAAATAAGCACCATCGCATTCCAACAGCTCTGGCAATATTTCAAGAGGTGCTAACAACTGAAACAGCCATCCTTTGGAGGCTCTACATGTCACACTGCGTGGCGGAGTCTACTGTGCATAGGGAGCAATGCAAGGGCTTGCCATCGTAGGTGTGCTGATTTATGAAGTAGAAGGGCTTTGCACTGAGCCGGCGTGCTTCCGCATGGCAAAAACTGCCCGAAAATTTCGATAACAAACTGGTCGAGTATCAGCGCTTCGTCACCGGGCTCTGTCGACAGCATTGCTACGTGATGGGACACATGGGCAACGCTGACATAACTCCGATCTGGTTTGATATGTCTTCAAACCAGACTGTGACTGGTAAAGAATCTAAGCAGGTGAAGCTTTTGACAACGGGCAACGAGCATTCGCAATTTACAGTGATGCGCACGTGCACAGCCGATTGAAAGAAGTTGCCCTTTTATATCATTTGCAAGAAAAAAGGGGCTACCAAAAAAAGACTTTTGCCGAAGATGTTATCGTGAGAGTGAACGAAAAATAGTTCATGAATGAGTCCCTCATGCTTAAGTGGATCCGACTCGTGTAAAATCGAGAACCCGGTGCGCTATTTCAGCAAGCGAGCAAGTTGGCGCTCGACTCATTTCGAGGCCACCTCACGGCTGATGTAAAGAGAGTTCTGTCCGATGGCAAGACGGACCTTGTGATCCTTGGGGGGGGATCGACTAACATCAATGCTCCAGCGACTAGACGTAGTGCTCAATAAACCCTTCAAAGATCGCATGCACGAGCTCTACAATGAGTGGATGCTGGGCGACAATCTCAAGAGGCCCGCTGGTCGCCTACGACGTCCACTGCCTGTGACCGTTTGTGGTTGGGTGTCGTCAGCCTGAACATCTTTCCAGCAGTGATGGTGCATAAGTTTTTCTACAAATGCTGCATCTGTAATGCATTGAATGGAACGGAAGACGATGCACTTTTGGACGTAACTAGTGAGAAACATATGTCGTCGGACTCAAGTTTGGACAAGTCTGAATGACAGCACTTTGTGGCATTCTGGCATTTAACTAAGTAAGATTAGTGTTGAAATAAAAAGAAACATCACCACAGTGCACCTGGCTGTGTCTCATATTTATCGAGGTAAGAGTGCGCTGCATTGCTTTGCAATTTTTAAAAATTTCCTTTTTAGAGATTCAAAGTTGGGGGGGTCGGCCTATATTCCGGTCCAACCTATACTTGGGTTTTTACAGTACTTGGTGTTGTTGTGTACTTCTCACCCCGTTCCTGATAAATGAGTTGAACAGAACATTGATCCGCACATAGCAATAATTATGACTGGTGCTTAGAGCGACATCAAATAAAGCACCATCGTAAACTTTCCTTGCGTGCCAGGTGACCACTTTGGATGCGTCATAACTGCTGACAACGACGTAGAGTAACTCAATCAACTCTGCGACTTATCAGAGTTTCCGGCTTCATCTTGGACATTGCGCAACTTCATCAGTGCAGATGACGACATAGTTGTTTCGGACTGCATCGATGCTGAGATTATGGCTCCCTTTGCCGGTGTCGCTGAAGTGTACACGTGCGGTTAATGTGATGCGAACGCCTTCGCTGCCCCCTCTAATCAACCTTTTGCCACGCTTTCAAAGCTTACATCGGTGTTCTGCGTCAATCAACGTCGTTGTGGCCGAACTAGCTGAATTCGCTTGCTTGAAAAGCGTCAATGATATCGAAGATGACTGAAACTTGACGGCGTGCAAGAAGCAAGACACGTTTACAGACTGTTTTCAGGTAAAATCAGGTGCGGTAACTTGCAGTTCACACCTTGCTCTTCATTATACTGTGAGCAAATCGTTATGTTAGCGCTTGTAACAATTTCCAAGGTCTGAAATGCTCTAATTTAGGCCTTTTTTGTATTTCAAATTATCGATATATCAAACTATTTCGCAATCCCTTTTAAGTTCGATATAGTCGAGATCGACTGTATTCGTTCGAATATTCAAAGCATTCAAATATTCACACAAGCCTAGTGAAGACTACGCTGCTTACGGAAGCACGCGATGGATTGAGATTCGACTTGCTGTCACAACACAACGGCAATTAAGACAGAAGTCCGCCATCAACAGGACGACAGGTACAATTTATGCACACCTCCCTCATGGCATCAACTGTGTGCACATGCAGTATTGTGAGCAGAGCTGAGCGAATAGGAAAATTTTTAGCGTGAAGCAAATTCGAATATTGAGGTGTGAGTGCAAATTGAATAGAATACTTCTAGAATATTTTTTTAATTATTCAAAGAGAGATTGCAAGAAAGAAAAGTTGGAGGCATTTCTAAGCACATTCTTAGGAGATATAGCAACATGAAAGTGTTCTTTTTAGATTAAGTGCTGGAACGGTGGTACTTAAAGGGGCCCTCCAACACTTTTTGAGCATGGTCAGAAAGCGCTGCCAATCGGTAGCAGAGGCTCCTGACAACATGCGAGCCAAACATTATAGTTGGCTCGCGTGTTGTCAGGAGCCTCTACTACCGATTGGCAGCGCTTTCTGACCATGCTCAAAAAGTGTTGAAGGGCCCCTTTAAGTACCACCGTGCCAGCACGGTGGCACGTGGCCTGGAATTCACAATAAATGATCAAAGTAAGCTAAAAATTGCTTTCTCTTCTCTCGACAAATCACGGAATAAGCCCAAAAATCACTCGAAGTAAGCCCATCTATCAGACATTGGCTGATTTGAACATGGCGCGCCCAGTCGTTACAGGGATTGCCGCGGGAGGCTGTGACTTGTCCATGAATGCATGCACGATCATACTGAAAAAGCCACGCATTCGAAGAAAAAATAAATAAAAAAGTGCTCAAGGTCACGAGGCACTCGTGACGTTTTTCTTTGCGCCTGCTATCCCTACCTGCTTAGCTTCCAGTGCTTTCATCAGGACGAGAGAAGAGCGAATGCAATCGCAGCATGCGACTAATCTTTGTGACTCCACTCGCACTGGACGGATTTTTAAAATTTTTTGCACCATTTAGTTCGCGAGGCAATAAGCTCTTCCAGAGAGTTCATTCTATGATTACTTAAGAGGTGTTTCAGGGCCTCTTTAATAGTTGTCTTATCAAGAATGTGGGAATGCAGAGGCCATATTGTATTAGTGCATGATTTTTTGCAACCATAGCATTGCAGACAACACTGTGGTTGCAACACGTGAAACATTTCGCCTGCAACACGTGAAACGCAAAAATGCCATTTCCTCAGCCCGTCCTCCCCTTTCAACTTCCGTGAAAACCCAAACAATGTGGCACACAAGGTCGTGCTCCATTCGAGTTAAGACTTTCAAGTCTACCTTGTAGACATCATCAGAAAAGAACATTTAAAATTTTGGATGCTAGAGATCTTCTGCATCCTATTTTTCAGACTTTCTGCCAATATTTTTGGTCAAAGAAGCTTTCAATAAGCCCCACTTCTACCTTGTCAATCAACTCCGTGTTAGAACCAGTGTTTTGTTGAGTTAATATATTTGCGACTATTGCAGAGTGTGAAAGACAGCTTTGCCGCAATACGAGAACGCAATAAGAAAGAGCACTTGAAAATCTGAAGGGGCCACTTTTAATCAGACGTGTACTGCATTTGTCTTGAAAAAATTCGATCGTAGCGGAGCTTGCCAGGCAACTTTGCTGCAATACACAAACGTGATTAAGTGAAGCATATTAAAAAATCTGAAAGGGTCACTTTCAATGGAACGTTGACTGCCTTTGTCTTTGGGAAGTTCGAATACTTCAAATAGTAAAATTCCAGTGTGAATTGAATTGAACGGCAAACACTATTAGAAAAATATTCGCAATTTCGAACATTTGCACACTTCTAAATGTGAGTGCAAATCTGCAAACCTGACAGAAGGGGACGCAATAGCGCTGGCCGAAGCTGTACTGAGCATTCTACAGTGATTCCTGCCAGTGATGACACTCGCCCGGGCACGCATGGTCACCTGACCTGGATGGTGGTGTTCCTGGCCGTCCTGTCCACCTGGTCGGTGAGCATCACAAAAGGGCTGGTGGCATCTCGTGTCGGACCGGTGCGGGATGATGCCCCAGTGCTGCCACCCTCCTTGGAGATGGGCTTGCTGCATTCACGAAGAAAATAACAAAAAACAGGCAGACGTTTAGTCGAAAAGGAAAGCTTGAAGTGGAGGGAGGGGGGAATTTTTCGAACACGAGGTGTCGCTGGATCCAAGGTTTTAACAAGCAGTCTTGCCTTCTTTAAGGCAGCAATGGTCTACTTTAGCGTATGTATGAGTATGCTTCTGACCTTTTTCACCAACCAAAACAGAACAGGAGGAGAGGACAAGTGCAAAAACGGAGAAGGGAGAGGTGGCAGAAAGAACGAGAAGATCAATAAGATGATATTAAAATAAGCTGGCATGCAAAATTAAATGAACAAAGAAAAAGAGGGAATGCATCAGTGAAAAAGAAAAAGGAGAGGGAAGCCAGAGAAACAAAAAAAAAACATGATTACACGAAAACAGGAAGAAAACAGACCTTGCAAGAAAGGTGGTGTGAATGAAAAGATTGGATGGAGTAAGGGGGCATTTTACTCAATCATGGCTGTCAAACGCAAGCAGTATTTGAAAATGGAAATTCCAGGTGTCCCTGCACCACCCGCGCACTCCATAAATGCCTTTCGCTGCTTTCTTGGCTTGCAATCGTTTAATCGCCACAGTGGTATCTGCTGTGATCTCGACGGGCGCCCAGAAGCATGCGCTACAATGCTACGATGCACTTTGCCGAGTTCGAGGCAATCTCCCACGACCGTGACGACGCCATTAACCTTCCGCCGAGTTATTACCGAAGCATCTAAAGCAGACTGTCGATGACAAAATGAACGACAAAACACGGCTGCATCTCGCTGTTCACAAAAGAAGTTATTGTAGAAAAGGTAGCCTATATCTTGCATTATTTGAGGTACACGCGGATAACAAGCACGACGAAAAAATTGCAACCAAGGTGAGAATCGGGAGTGCTACGATTTTGCGGAAATCATCACGATCTTTTATGGGCGACAAGCGATCTTTTTCTGGTTTTCTAGAAACCTGCGACAAAATGGCAATGAACGGCCTTTTGAGACAGTCATGGTGACAGCAAACCCTGTCGTCGTCGCTCGAAAATCACAGGCATGTGGCTGGGCCTTAGCATTTCGTATTTGCAGAAAGCAACCGTAAGTTAGCGCAGGCAGTCTCGTGACCTAGCTTCGCTCGGTGTGTGCAGCTGTGATGTTTCTATACTCGCACCGTTCAGGAATGGCGCTGTGGTGCACAGATAATAAAAAAAGATGGGACATGCGGCGCGCAGATAGAAAGAATAACAATACGACGTGCGACAGAGGGTGAAGGGGGGGGAGAGCTAGCCAAGGTGGCCGAAGGGGGTCGGCATGATAATAAAAAACGAAGAAGGTTCAACGGGCAAGGAGGCACCAGGTGCCGGTTAACGGGGAGTACAGAGGACGAATGTGGGGGCTGCTTATTACGCACAAGAAAAAAAATGCAGATTCTGACGACTGAAGTCCGGGGTGCGTTTATTGTGTGAGCAAATTCGGCCCATACTATTTTCGTTCTTGTTGTACATGCACAGGCTGACAATTGGCGAAATTTCGCGTGCGCAGATGTCCAATACCCAAGCTGTGATGATTGAACAAGCGCCAGCAATAGTCAAGTCAAAACATGACCACATTGACATATTTTCTGCTCGTATGGCTGCTGCCAATCGGAGCTTGCAAAAGCATGCCCGTCGAGATTGGTTTTCGCTAACATGAAGGAGCTGCTGGTAGGGGGTGCGAATTTGCTGTCACTCTCGAATCCAATCATAGTACAGTAGACTCGCAATATTTCAAACTCTGATAATTCAAAATTTCAGTTAATTCAAACAAAATTCAATTTTTTCGTTGGCCCTGTATTTTTTCAATGTATTTAAAAGCCCCTTCATTCAAACTCCATCATTCCATTATTTCATGCTTTTTGCAGTTCTATACCATAAAATATTTGCTGCTTTTCCACTAATGTTTCAAAATATATGTTCTTATATAATCCAAACACTTTAAAAAAATGAAAAATAAGTGCCTCAGGACTTCAAACAAAAAGGCTTTGCTAGCAAACAAATGTTTGAAACGAAGCTCAGGAGTGGTAAACCATGATGCTTCTCAACTGGTATCGAAAGCTTTGAGCTGAAGGCACGTATAGCAAATAAGCAGTTGGCGATTCCCGATTTCTTTAAAAGGTCTGATAGTGATCCACAGTAAATGGCCGATAAACTTGTGGACCTTACACCGCCGATTTTTTTTTTCATTGCGTGCAGTTAGTGTTTAAAAACACTTAAAAATTTTTAAGTGTGGTAAAATCAATGCATAATCATAACATGTGATGTCACCTCAGCTGGAGTCATATATCTGGGAGCTTCTGGTAATCCAAAATTCTTGATAATTCAAACAAATTCAGAATTCGACTGTATTGAAACGGCTCAAAAGCATTGAGCATGTTTCTTTTTTCATTCTATCGTTTACGCAGTGCTGATCATGCTGGGGATTTGGTCGTTTTACGCAAGTTGTTTTTGTGCGGCGTGTTTTTTTTGCAGTGTCATGCACAAGAGGTGCGTTTGAATTCGCGCACAAAGATGGTGTATTGTGCTGAAAAAAGATGTCTTGAGTGTGAAAGAAAAACGAAAAATCATCTGCGCAATTGAAAATGTACAAGAAATCTGCAGTAGCCAGTGATAAGTACTAGCCTCTGATGATGGTGTGCAGAATATGGAATGCTTGCGAAAAGATGAGGAACGGTACAGGCCAGTAATTTGAGTAGGTGCTGCACCAAAGACTGCTTTTCTTAATGTGGAAAAGGCCCTGCTTCTTTGGTAGAAAAAAGCGCAGAGCATGAGCCTGCCAGTTAAAGGACCCCTCGTGACTGACAAAGCACAAACTTTCACCACTCAGCTGAATCGCACCAGTTTTGCCTGCCGCAACGACTTGTTGTGGTGATTAAAAGCGAACTTCCACATTGTGAAGAAAGCTGTTTGCAGGAAGGAGTCCACAGCAGACACAGAACACGTTGTCGAGCGGCCGAACATCGATTTGCAGGAAGCCTTAGTAGCCTACGATGCCGCCGACATTTCTTAATTTTGATGGGTTGGCACTTTTCTAGTGCCTGCTTCCAAACAAGAGATTGGCATTGAATAACGAAAATTCCATCAGTGGGAAACATGCAAAAAATCGTATTTTGGCCGCTTTCTATGTGAACATGACCAGGAGTGAGAAGCTGCCACTGATGGTGATAGGCAGATACGAAATCCGCGATGTTTCGAACGCACGCGGCTGTCATGCGTCGTTCTTGACAAGCGCAACAAAAAGGCCTAGATGACAGCTCAGCTGCTCGAGGAGTAAGTGCACCAGCTGGACCACTGTTTTGCGACCAATAAAAGGAGAATACTGATAGCACTTGACAATGCATTGGCGTACGTTGATTTGGATAAGCTGTTGGCTATTAAGGGGGGACATGAATCTTAGGGCTCTCTCATTTACTTTTCAACCAAATGTGGCAAAAGTTGGCATGCTTACTCAACTTGTTCTGCCGATTCTAAATATGTAGTTATTTTTTCTGTAGCTTAATTAGTTCATTATTTATATAAAATAACAATATGCATTGTTTCTACTACAATAGAAAAATAACCACCAGTCTGAAATTTGCAAATAGCATAGGGATCAACGCTAGAAAGCACAAGCTACACAACATAGGAAGCACTTTTCTGATTGCGTCATTATTTTTTACTTTACAGTACACTAAACATCATGGCACTGAATGTGGGCATTAAGTGGTCACACAAAAGACTATTTTAAAAAACTTGCATCAAGAGAAATCAAAATTTGCTTCTTATGCTGTGTGCTTCAAACATATAGCTTCATTCTGAAAAAAAAAATTATTCTGCTATCTGTAATAGTTTCAGATATATTGCAGGAGTTTTCATGCAGGGTGTTCGAAATTGCCACTTCGAGAAAATCAAGAAAACAAAGAATTCTAACATTTTTAATCATAAAAATGTATGTACTTAGAATTACATAGTCATTGAAATATATATGGATACTAGTAAGGCTAAGGAGTGCAATGGTGCAAGCTGATCGAAAATTGAACGAGTACTTTTCGAATTGCAGCACAATAAATTTCATTGCATGTAACTAAAAACAAAAATTTATATTAAAATAAAAAATGAAGCTACCCAATAAATATCAGCTCTCAGGATTGTTTTTTTGTGCACATTTAGCTACACTGTGCAAAAACAATCACAGCTCTAGCTGTCCTAGGTCCACTTTTACCACACAAGCAAAAGAAGGTGGTCGAAATCTGTGCTTCAAGAACAATGCTGTTAAAACTTTATTTCATCGTTTCGAGTAAAAAATATCATGGCACACATGCTTTTAGTCAGTTAATATGCACCGGGAATGTAATAGGACTGATTATTTGCATGAGCGTGTCATTTCTTCAAGTCCTGTAGCAAGTTGTCACCATGTGCTCATCTGCTGCAAGGCCGCTCATCAGTTCGTTGGCTGTGCTGACAGTGATGTCCGATGAATGTGCACGCACCATCCGAAATCCGTCGAATTACACTGGCGATGTGTTCCGGCTTGTGCAGAATGGGTTACCCATAAATGTCGCGAATCAAACTTGCTCAATCGCTCATCAATTTCGAGGCTACACGAATGCCGAGGTGTTAGTTGCCTATTCACATAAGACTGCCGCATTTTCGAGTGGAGACCGTGGCAACGTTGCGAACACATCGTTAAAAGCAGTTCACCTGTTGCCAGTAGCCTCCATTGCACGGGCAGCGAGCACATTCACCGCGAATAGATTGACTTTCTGTTGTTCGTTGACGCACGGCGTACTCTACTCTGACGAACCGTCACGCTGTTCAATGTCCTTTTGTCAGGCGGGGAGGAACAACTGCGGCTTCGGCGCGTTTAGCGATAAGACTGCACTTCGGTTCCGTCACTACAAAGATTGATATCTCTTGTAGCTTCACTTCTGCTTTTTACTTGCCATCCTCTAAGTGATGAGGCTGCAAAACACAGCCGCTCTCAGTAACGTTGTCAGCAACCAACGGGCTCACACGTGAGTTAGGCCTACACCGATGATTCAGCGACCACCGCTGACTGCTGCGAGTTCGTTATCTTCATTATCCTGAGCCATAGTGGGGCTCTTTCTGGAGTTCACAGCGAACAAACAATCGCCACACCCGCTTCACAAATTACTGTGGTACGGAAATTCTCTACTGTTGCAGGCAGTCAGCAGCACCATGACAAAATGGTGCATGTCGGTGGGGGTCACGATCGTGAAGCAGACGCCGGAAACGCTACTTGGCCAATCGGATGCCTAGGTTCTGTTACGTGCCCCAAGCAGCCAATAGAATCGCGCAATAGTGCTTCTCGATGACGCGTTTTTGCTGAAAAACCAATGAGCAAGGCAAGCCAGCGGCGAGGAGAAATTGAGATGAAGAATTACCCTTCTAAACGAGACCAAGATGAGCATGATAGCTCGTGCGCAACAGCAACAGCTCGGCACGGAAAAAGCGCGATTTTAGCATCAATTTGCGCTCACATTCATCTCACACTGATGTTATAAATTGATATTGCACCAGAAATAATGACGCGAGAAGCTAGAAACTTCTGAGATAGGTGCAAAAATAGGTACAGATTCCGAAAATGTCAGCTTCAAAAAGTCGATTTTTTTGCATTTTTTGGCCTTCTACGACCCGTGTTCACCCTTAAGCTGCTGTTCTCACCACCCATCCCAAAGCGCTCACTCAGCCCCTCAGCCAAGCAGAAACGCTACAAAAATCTGTTGAGAAGGATGTTGCTCACCAGGGAGAGTGACAAAACATACACAATAGATGTCCTGGACCCTGCACACCTCCTTGTGCACCCATGGATGCAGGTACAGCCTGCAACAATACAGGACTGCTTTGTGCGAGTGCGAGTCAAAACGCTTGAAGAAGGCGACAACGAGAAGGCTGAGGGTTGTGAGAGCCTCCTTGATGACGTTTTTGAGCTGCACGAAGAAGCAGTTGAAACGTTTTCGGCGCCTTTCGATATGTCCACGACAATGTCATTACATCCCATGACTTTTTCGCCAGTGACATTGTTGCTGCCGATGCACCACATCCTACTTCAAGCGAAAGTGAGGACAGCAGCGTCGAAGTGGACAACCACTCTTTGGTATCCGACACAGATGAGACTCTTCGCAGAGAAGCGAGGCTTAATGGACAAACAGTCTTGCGGCCTCCCCGACTTTGAAGATGTTGTCGGCACAGAAATGTCAGCACGATGGCAAGTGAAGATAATTTTTTTCCTGTCAGTCCCTGAATAAAGCTTCCGTGCTTGCATGTGTGTGTGCGTGTTTGTGAGGATTGCGGCATTTTTTTTTCTGGCTGGAAGGTGGCAGCTAGACTGGCAGTGAGGGTTAATTCGTAGCATTGCTTAGTGCATACCAAAACATGATCCCACGCAACTGTGCATTAGCGAGGTTTGAAGTTATGCAGTGCTCAAGCTCATCAAAATGGGACCTGCCAAATTAAAATGATGTAGCACTGATGAAATCACAACTTACAACTATGTTGACACAAATGCTGTAGCACTGATAAGGTCACAACTTACAACTATGTTGACACAAATTGATACGTTGCTAAGAACTTCTGATAATAAAAACTATATCCTGGGGTCCCCTTGGAAGTGAATTACTAATTAATAAGAGCCTACAGCAATTTCTAAGGCACCACACTCAAACAGGCGTTTGCCATGGTTTTCCTCACACTCACATTGGGCGGCAGATGCAGAGAGATCCGCGGTTTGTGCCGTAGATGAGCCCTTCACCTGGCCGAGGCAGCCAGCGCACTGAGTTGAGGCTGACCGGAGGCTGGCCAGCAGTCCCCCCTGGCTGGCTCAGGTTTCCCACCTGCTGAAGCTGGCCACAAGACCGCACACAGAGGTCAACCACATTGAGAGACATCGCGATTTGCTTCATGACTTTCCAAATTTATAAACACTGTTTCATTACGCATGGTAAAATATTCCAGCACTTAGAATTTTCGAATGAATCTTACAGTACTTGAATTCCCTTCTCCATGAATTTTAGGTTATTCAATATTTTGAAATATTGGAAATGACCCAATAGGTGAATATCTGACTGCATGTAATCCCCCTGAAGAAGCAGTACTGCAGCGTGAGGGTGCAATGTCGTGAGACCACCTATTCAGGGAAAATACGCACTGCCGCAAAGCCTCCCACTGAGTTAAACTACATGCATAGCGCCTTCACTTCAATTATTCCTGAACTTTAGCAGCTCATTATACGAGCCTACATGCCCTGAGCATAGTAAATTTTAAGGTGCAACATATTTTACTGCTTATAATTTGCACCCAACTACTGTTAAAATCTTGCTACTACTCGAAGTTGCTTTCACTTCACTTTGAATTAAAAACGACATTTGCACATGCCTCGTTCCAATTCCTAATACACTGTGCAAGTTAGCTGGCCATAGCAAAAATGCTTATAACATATGATGCATACTACTTGAACCATCTGATGGAATCACAATTCGCTTTGCATTTGCTTCAAACCTCGGAATTTCCCATTCACCCATTCCCGATAAACACTAGCAAATGTCTATGTCATAAGAAAACGTAGATTAGCAGACCAAAGGCAACTAAGAGGACAAATTATTCTATGTGTTTTGAAGTGGTAATGCAAGAGTCCCTGGAGAAAGCAGACAGTGCTCACCGATGAGGAGGAGGATGAGCCTTCGCCATCTTGTGGAGTCAGCTTGAAGATTTGAGCCACCACCTGCGAAATTTACATTAAATTACATACCTGCAAGTAGAAGTAAACACAGATATCACAGGCCATTAGACACAGTTTCCGCTTTGCATAGTCATTGTGGTGTTCGAACTTCCTTTTGAAATTATTACACCAAACATAATGAGGCCAAAAACAATGCTACGTCTTCAGGAAGCACCTTCTGCTTCAATGCGTATGTGGGTCTTAAATGAAAAAAAGAAGAAACTGGTCAAAGGGCCCTTTTTACATTAGCTGCAGCCATATAAACACAACAGGTAATCGGGGCATAAATACCAGAAAGGAAGTTTATCAACACAACACGTAATCAGGGCATGAAGACAAGGAAGGAAGTTTATGGAAGCTGGTGGTTAATGCGAAGTACATTTAGTGCTTAGTTACGCCGTCATCCCCGGAAGGTACGTATTAACGGGGTTTCACTGTATACGTGTGCATCGGTCCCATAATTTTGCGTGAGAAATTCAAGATTTCTTAACTGTATGACATAGCCAACTATTCGATATATCCGAGTTCGATATATCCTGGATCGACTGCACTATCCAGAAGTTAAATAGCTTGAGTAGTAAAGTTCTAGTGCGAATCGAATTGAATAGCAAACACTATTAAAAATATTCATAAGTTTGAACATTCGCACATCCCTACAAATAACTTCCCTTTGGTTCCGTACATTCACGTTAGTTTACAGACACTACTTGCCTCCCTCTCCTGGCTGAAATAGCCCCGAGTGGTGGCGAACCCGACGACCAGGTACCGAGCGAGCGGTGACAGGCTGACCGAGATGGCGTTGGCCCCAAAGCTCCAAGTGTGCAGGAGGGTGCCTCGGGGCTGCAGAGAGTACACGCACAGCGAAGCTCCTAGTAGGCCACAGGGAACCAGGGCCGCCAGCAGACCACCGCCCAGGGCCACACTTGCATCGTTGTGGATCTTGCATCGCGGTGCCACCAGGCATGCCTTGGCTGCATTAACAAAAAAGCAACAGAGGGAACACAGTTGGCGCACAGAACAGCAGGACGTGTTTGCACTAAGTTCTCATTTGACCAAGCTGGTTAACAGTTTGCAGGCAAACAGTCCTATAGATGAAAGCTGTTCAGTCCTCATAATTTCACACACAACAAACGTTCTAGCATAAAGACTACTATAAGTGTTTGCTTGTGATAACCCTGTCACGCGTCTACTAATCTGGCTGTTAAGGTGATTTTGGCTCTGGTGTAAATGTTTCAGTCAAAATTAAGATGCAAGGCCCAGCCGCGGTGGCCTAGTGGCTAAGATACTCGGGTGCTGACCCCCAGGTCGCGAGATCGAATTCCGGCTGCGGCGCGGCATTTTTGATGGAGGCCGATATGTTGTAGGCTCGTGTGCTCAGATTTGGGTGCACGTTAAAGAACCCTGGTGGTCGAAATTTCCAGAGCCCTCCACTACGGCGTCTCTCATAATCATATCGTGGTCTTAGGACGTTAAAGGGGCCATGAAACACTTTTTTGAGTAACCATGAAATTATTTCACTGGAAAAAAGTATTACCTCACAAATCGAACGCCACAAAAATTTTAAGAATCCATCCAGTACAAGCGGAGAAACAAAGATTTCGCACATGCTGCAATCACATTCTTTCTTCTCTCGTCCCGACGAAAGCACTGGAAGCTGAACAGGGAGGGATAGGAGGATAAAAAGAAACGTCACTTACGCCTTGTGACCTTGAAAATTTTTTTTCCTTTGAATACGCGACTTTTTTAGTGCGATCGCACGCGCACGCGTGGACAAGTGACGGCCTCTTGCGGTGACCTCTGTAACAACCGAGCGCGCCATATTCAAATTGGCCAATGGCTGATAGATGGGTTTACTGGGCTTACTTTCCATGATTTGTAGAGAGAAGAGAAAGCTATTTTTAGCAAAATTTGATAATTTATTGTGAATTCCAGGCGGCGTGCTGCACTATAATATTTGGCTACGCCTGTTGTCGGGAGCGTCTACTATCGATCGGCAGCGTTTTCTGACCATGCTCAAAAAATGTTGCAGGGCCCTTTAAAGCCCACATATCCATCAATCAAGATTACGAAGTGATGTTAATAATTCTCGTTATTGAGATGCAAATTAAGGAGCTTTTACAGTAGCAATCCAGAAGGCCACATGTGGCTGCTGAAATTTCGGAGGACCGGTCCAACAGCGCCTGGCTGCACCGATATGCGCAGCACACTAGCATGTAGGAGCAACAGTAAGGGCTCAAAGTACAGTAAGAGCTCGTTTAACCGGATCTCAACTCGGAAATTCGGTTAACTCGGACACGCAGTCCGGTCCTGGCAAAACTGTGTGTATTTCAATGGTGTCAAATGCTCATTAATTCGGAGGGAATTAGACGCGCACCGGTTAACTCTAAGGATTCCAGAGTGGGCTATCCGGGCTTCAAGCTTTTGGTAACCGGTTACTGAAAGCATGAAGTCCCAGCTCTGGCGCTGTAACCAACAACGGAACTGAAGTTTTGAAGAAACCGAAACCGAATGAACAGCAGCAGAATATGATCATGATGATAGTGAATGAGGGGGGAAGTGTCCAGGTGGCACTAGTCACCACCCGGCGGAAGCACTTGGGCTGGCGGTCCATTCAGTGTCTGCGAAATGCACCACACATGGCGCCGCACGGGACAGTTCGCGCAGCCGCCACTACCCCAGTTACTCGCGCCGCCTACGCTGTTGATTTCTTTGCGTTGTGACTTCCCGCATAGCGTGTGCAGCTCGGGTACATCAAAAGAGTTGACTGTTGGGCAAGTTGATGCTTTGACATAGAAACCATCGTTACATTCTCAGGCTGTGTTTAAGCGCGTTGATGATGGTGTGGCCATTGCTGATTTGCTGACTGATGACGACATATTATTAGAAGTGCTTGAGTAGGATCAAAATCACTGTTCTGATGATGACATTCAAGATGAGCTGACGCGACATCGCACAGTGCAGGAGGCCACCGGAGCTCTCGCTTTCCTCGCGGAGTACTGCATCTTTCATTTTTCGCGACATCGAGCTTGCACACCATCATCACATGGGGTTGAAGAAGATCGTTCTAGCACCGATTCCGATGACGAGGCAGACTAAGTTGATGCAGTTTTTCATGAAATAAAGGTTTGTGCGTGCCGAGTACATTTTCCTTTTGTTTGGATGGTTCATTTGATTATCCGGAATTCGGTTAACTTGACATTTTGACTGGTCAAAAATGATATAATCGAAAAACTAAGAATATAGCAACAACACTCAGCCTTGCCCCATAAAATAGGTACAGACCGCCTGAATAAGACCACAGCACGACGTTGTGCTTTTACTATAAATTTAGATTAAATTGTTCATGCCAGCAACAGCTAACGGCAGCGAGTGAATCTCTATTCTCAAGTTTAAAAAAAATTGAACCCAACGCGCATCTCTCTACGGATAAATAGAAGGCAAAAATTGCCTGCGCGTAATAACAAAACCGAAACCGTGTTGCCAATAGCCTCCTGTCAGAAGAGCCAGACACAGTGTCATCGCTATCACATAATGGCGACCTACCACGAGTGTGTGTAGAATGCCTTTGTGTCCGACTGAGCTACGTACGTTGTAATTTGTGGCCTTGTGGAGTGGAACTTGTGTGTTCCCACTGTTAGTATGAACGTTGACGTCAAGTGAAAGTAATCTTTCACAGTGAAAACAGCTGTGTCACGCCCTTATGCATCCGCAAGCCTGTGAATGCGAGTACGAAAAAGGCAGGAGATCAGCCGTATGTCGACCAGAAAATGTTTTCGTGGACCAAAAACATGAAAATATCAGCTTTTTGGCTGGCTAGAGCTGCTTTGTGTGGATAGAGCTTCACTAGGTAATGACCCCAGATACCTGCGTGTGTAGAAGCGCATGAACTTCCACGAGAATAAATTTTCCATTCTCAGAAGACATCTGTCTTGCTCTCTACTTTTCTAATCGTCAACATAGGGGAACGCAGTTTATGTATTGCACTCGTGAATATTTGGTCCACGGTTGATTCAAGTAGAGGCATTCTTTTTTCTTTTGGACTAAATCTGAATGTCGTCGTAAGATGCGGGGTCGAAGTAAAACTGCGTCATATAACCAAGCTCTTTAATACACTATTCCTATGGGGATTTTGCCGAGACCTAACGGATTCATTGTAAAATGCGGGTCATCGCGAAACCGGGGGACGTATAATCGAAGTTCCACTGTATATGCATATTCTCTTGTATGTGAAACAGTTTTGTGAGCACATGTGCCTCATGGCTCCCATGCCTCGATGTGATGGGGGCGGGCTCAAAAGATTACCACCCCACAGCCTACAGTGGGGAGAGAGGTGAAAAGGGACCACATCACAAAAAAAACAAAAACAAATGCAGCTCTGCTACTGTGAAACTTGAGGAAGTGCATGTTACAGTGGTGCAGCTATTCCCGCTCGTAGAGTTCCCACTTCTCCATTTACCAAATTGTCGATGACGCCAATATTTGAAGCAAACATGTAGGTGTTTCCCCAGCATGAACAGAATCTTGTTATCAATATTAGCGAACTCCGAGAGCAACATGCGCACTGCGTTGGCACTTTATTAACTTCCCGCGTGTTACGGCAGTTACGATACGTGTCAGCAGCAAGTTGTAGCAGTTTGTTGCCCCTTCCCCCCTTCAGATGTAGCAACAGAGTGCTGGTGAAATGCAAGTGGGAGGAGCAATCATGTACTACTCTGAGAGTCAGTGGTGCCCTCTCTTGTATGGCACACGAATTAACTACATGCTCCCGAAGAATTTTTACCCATTTCAGGTCAATTACTATGAGTATTGTTTTATTACTGCTGTTGCTTGTGTCATTTTAAACCTTCTTAATTTGTTTTAACCAGGTTTCAAGATTGCTAGCCATCTTTTAAGCCTGTATTGACTCCTGATTGTGAGCATGACAACACCACACATGATCTATGGATGGACGACGAGCCCCTTAGGTGCTACAAACTTGAAACCCCGAAACACTTCCCCTTTCCCGACTCTTTCGCCACATTGCGGGTTTGTGCGAATACCCTCGTGTTAATCTGTACGTCTTGATCCATTCACATCATCAATGACTGTTTAATAATGTTTTGCAGAAACAAAAATTGCTAACCAAACATCAGCACGGTTTCCGAAAAATAAAAACGGTCCATGGAAACTGCCTCAACTATACAAAAGGATTTCATTCTTCAGAACATACAAACTTCAGCAAAGCATTCGATAGAGTCAACCACCAATTGTTGCCCCTAAAGCTAGAGAGATACGGCTTCGGAGAAGTAACACTTCAACTCATCTGATCTTGTCAAGAAAATCGACATCAGTCCGTTGAAATTAATGAATACCGGTCGCAACTGAAACCTCTAACAGCAGGTGTCCCTCAGGGGAGCATCCTTGGTCCGATATTCTTTCTCCATTACATCAACGATATTGTAGAGATTAGTAAAATGTGAAATTTTGTTGCATATGCAGACAACTGTTCCATTTTCTTTACAGGAAAAGACTTAAAATAAATAATGCCTATAGCTAGCACTGAATGTCACAAACTTCAATAATTGTCAACAACAAACTGCTTGATTCTCGATGAAACCAAAATGAAATGTGTTGTTTTCCCTGCTCAAGGAAGTTCTACTATAGTCCCAGATAACATTGTTCTAGGTCCGTACACGATGACCATTACGTCCTCTATGAAAGCACTCCGCGTTATAATCACTTCGCACAAGTCCTGGAATGAACATGTTGACAATGTTTGTTTGATAGTACAAAAAGTTGTTGGTGTCTTAAATCCCTATCGAAATGTATTACCCTCTAGAATTAAATGTCATTTATCATGCTCTTTTCCAATCACACCTCAGTTATTGCTCACTCATATGGGATAACACTACCGCACAAAACATACAGATGCTGGAAACACTTCGAAAGAAAGCAATTCGAGCCATAGCAAATGTTCCTTTATCCGAACATATGGAATAACTTTTTCGGCAATTTCGAATAATAAAATCTGGTAACATATGCAAACTGAAAACACTACAAAGCTACAAGAATGCTATGCTAGGAAAGCTAGATTCATTTCTAGGCTTAGCTGATCTACAAGAAAATAAAAGTACATAATCATATCGCCGTCAGGCTCCGTGGCGAATCCCCCTTTCCTGCACTAATTATGGAAAACAGCACTTTTGCTTTTCTTAATTAACCATTTCAACAAACAAAATGATGATCTTCTAACACTAAACAAGACCGAAATGCTAGACCTATTCTTGTAGCAGGTTATTGACATGAAATAACATAAAAACGTATAACAACATAAAACAAATCTGAGCGATTTCTGACTATATGCTTTGATCTGATTTACTTTGTGGGGTTTAACGTCCCAAAACCACCACATGATTATGAGAGACGCCGTAGTGGAGGGCTTCGGAAATTTTTACCACCTGCGGTTCTTTAACGTGCACCCAAATCTGAGTACACGGGCCTACAACATTTCCGCCTCCATCGTAAATGCAGCTGCCACAGCCGGGATTTGATACCTCTACCTGCGGGTCAGCAGCCGAGTACCTTAGCCACTAGATCACTGTGGCGGGGCGGACTATATGCTTCAGTTATTGCACTTTTTTTCTATATTATATAAAAGCGTCTTTCGGTTGTATTCTGGAGCGTCTATATATTTGTTATTAAATTTATTCATTAGATTTTTATTCCCATGGTATCCATATGGAAATGAAATGCTCTGTACTATTCTATCCCGCTATACAGTACGTGTAACATGCTTTTTACTGTTGTGCTAAGAACAACTTCACTGTTGTTTGCCTGAGAGACCGGGGCTTTGTCAAGCCGGTGAACGTTCGGCTTTTTCTGGAGTTCTTTTTTTTCACCTTATGTACGAAATGATGAAAATAAACTATTTTGATTAATTTGATTGATTGATTATTACCAGCAAGAGGGTGGACAAGATATGAATTAGGCTCACCATCACCAATGTCTGGCAGCTTAGAACCGGTCATGTCCCAACACTGGATTCGATGCGTCAGGTTCGGGCCAGCCTCATACACACCTGGATTAGGGCGGGTGAAGAAAACGATGTGTTCATTTAGTTTCCACTAATGTAAATAACAGCTGACGCAACAACGAATGGAATACCATTACAAAATGAATAGTAAGCATTGCACGCAATACAGATGTTACACACTAAAATACAATAGGTTCTCAATCATTCAAACATAACGAGTGCCCAGCATTTTATTCAAATGAGAAGTTCTGATAAGTATGACAGATGGCTACATGCAAACTTCGTTGAAATGTTCGCTGTTTCTTAGGGCAACAGTAACTTCAGAGACAGCTGTGAATGAAGCCAGCCAGTAATGTTTTCAGACGTCAACTACCATACTCATACTTGTTATTGTATGCAGCGTGCACATTGCAGTGTACACAATTAAGGCAAGAAATAAATGTGCTGTGTCCCTAGACAGCTGGTAGACCCTTCTCAATCATATTGCACTTTTTTGCGTGATGCTAGTGAACTGCAGTGAGAGCGACTTAATATTCTCACTACTATAGAAAAACACGAGGGCAATAAAACACTCTGTTTACAATCTTACTTCAAATGGCTGTACAACTGCACAAAGAAAATGCACTGTGAGCAAAATTTCATCGTCAGAGTTGAAATATGTGTTAACAGACGTGGACATATGTTACAAAAATGGTTAAAACAGCCCCATAAATGTGGATTTGAACTTCTTGCCATTTAAATGTATCGCTGAATAATTCCCAAAGACCAATAGCATAACTTTTGTTCACACTACTTCATATGAAGTCAGTGAGTGAAAACTTTATTAAAGATTCAAGATATTTTGGCGTGCAGCTTTGTGGTTAGGTGGCCACGAGGCCCTGGGCGGCATATTCTGCTCTCCAGAGCACACTGGTTTGCGGGTAATGTTACAGCTCCGCAGAATCTCCTCCCACTGCTCAGAATTAGAGTTGAACTTTAATAAAAGAGATGCATGGCAAAGCACTTCTTGTTGCTAACATGAGGAGTCTCTCGTGAGCAGGGTACCATGTTCTCCTTTTCTGATGAACTGCTATTTTAATGTAGGCCCACTAATGTCTTACATCCCCATATGTCTTTTACGTGAGTGTCTTTAACAAAACAGTTCAACTGTATTTACGTCCAGATTCTTATGATCCCTGCTGCATATGACCAAATATTGTGAAATAAATATGCTCTTCACTTGTAGTGCTTGCATGTATTCGGATATTGGCCTGGGTAGTCCTGGTTCATCAAACATCATTGTACCAAAGTCACACCTGCCCCAAAAATACTTCGTTATATCGAGAACTTGTTATAAACATATCTGTAACACTGTATGACAAAGCAATTTTTCATTTACTTACTTATAACCAATAATTCATCATATCCAGGTTCGTTATATAGAGGTCTGAGTATAGTGATAGTCTATGGGTTTGAGGTATGTATTTGATAGGAGACGCCTTGTTTTGCGCGAGCTGGTCTATCTTTACAGGTAACTTGAAAAGTGTAAACGACCAAAACGAAACAGATACAACAGGACTGGCATACAATGTTTGCAAATGCCGTTTATTTGAAACGAATGTGACAAAACTGTGCATCTAGCACATACAAGTGCACTTATCATCTCTTGCGGGACGATGTGTGCATGTGTATATTCTTGATGCCCGGGTATGTCACAGTGTTCGTTTCAAATAAATGCCAGTTGCAAGTAAAGCACAGGTCCTGTTATATGTGTTTCGTCATCGTTGTTTGCACTTATCAAGTTTGCACTTTTCAAGTGATTTCTGAGCTGCAGGTAGACTGCTTGAGTGAACCTGTAATGCTAAGTTATTTCCTACCGCTGACCATGCGATCCCTCTCTGATCCCAGCATGAACCACCCAAGTGCTCTTTGGGCAGCAGAGAGGGCAGCACCATTGCAGAGTAGCAAAAGTGCACTGGTGCCCAAATTCGATAGGTGACCGGTAATATGAGCCATCGCAGAGAACTGTGGGATACGACGGCTTCCTGTTCGACGATGCACCACACAGGTTAGCAGCGGCACGCGTACATTTTTGTACAGCTCCATTGAAAGAAAACACCTCTCCACACAATGTCAGTGCTTTAGAAGTTGGTTTTTTGTTTTTGCTAACCGTGACTGTGGCGATGACAAGCTACGAAAGCCATGAACGGCAAGGAAACTTTTTTATCGCACTAAAATGATCTACAATGCTTTTATGCTGCTCGGGGTACTGTCAGTTTGGCTCGTTGATACAGTTAATACAGAAAACAGTTTTCATTGTATGGTAGATTACCGCTGATAAAAAATCAACATTTTAAAGATCTCAGGGGATGGTGATGACTGTAGCGGTGTGCTAAAAGTTCATTTCGGGATTGCTGCTTCGGCCGACATCGTCAGGCGATCGGCATGAAGCGCAGCACTTATTGAGCGCGTTGAGATATCTTTTTTTTTTTTTAGCCTTCAGCGCGCTATAAGATGTATTTCTTAGTCCAAACCAGATGCTTTTAAACACTGATCTTGATCAAGCTGCGTGGCATGGCGGCACATAAACAATGCAGTCAGGAGGAATAGACGGCACCGAATAATCGAAACCCTGCACTTTTTTAACACACTTCTTCCTTTGGGTGCCGTCTTGGCGTACAGTTCGACCAAGATAACGCAAATGGACTCATCCAGCGCTTCATGTAAACCTACTCTTGAAAGAAGCTTTTGTGTTTTTGTTATATATAAGATTGCAATAGCCGGTGCTCACCTCGTATGACAAGTCGATTTCACCCACGCGTTCCCATAATATATTTGCGAGGCGCTTGCACGACAATTTATTTCTCAATATAATATTCACAGCAAATTCATGCATAAGCTTTTTTTTTTTAGTGTGGAATACACACGTATCTGTGATAAGATGGTTTTCGCACACTCTGACTTCAATGTTCCGCACTCAAAGACTACCTCTCGCTGTGGCTCTCTTGACAGCCGCGGCCCACCTCATTTTTCTTTCTTCGTTCCATGAAAATCGATACACGCCATTTGCCTTTCACGCTCAAGTTGGAGCAGCCAACGGCTGAACAACCGTCCAAGGTTTATCAGGACAAAGATAAACAGGCGACCGCGCGCGCGAATCCCAAATAATCTGAGGCTTGCGGTGAAGCGGTTCACCGTCGTCTACTCTTCTCAGGACCGGAAGCCGAAAGCAGACGGTGCATCCCACAAATGCTCGCTCTTTTACTGGTCACCTATTCGTCTTGGGTGATGATGCTGGGTGTTGAGTACTATGTGTGTTATGGAACCAAGATACGACCTGTAGCAAAATCCTTACTGCCATTCTAAAACCACTAATACGGTATAAATCTCGTTACAACGGATTTGCTTACAACAGACTTTCGAATATGACATACCCATTGGCATCGTTATGCCGACCTCCCTGTTTGTTCTGTTGACTGAGCTTCCTTTACTATGGATTCTGATACGATGAACACTCGGATATAATTGACTAAGATGTGAAGCCCGCAAGGTGGTCAGGACTCCTTTACAGCGAACTCTTCTACTACGAACTCCATCCTAAATTCAATAACTCCCAACTCAAACATCGGCATACCTACAGGATAGGAACAGAGCACCGCAGATATTGAGATACCGATTTAAAAGGGCCCTGCAACATTTTTCGAGCCCCGCCGCGGTGGTCTAGTGGCTAAGGTACTCGGCTGCTGACCCGCAGGGCGCGGGTTCGAATCCCGGCTGCGGCGGCTGCATTTCCGATGGAGGCGGAAATGCTGTAGGCCCGTGTGCTCAGATTTGGGTGCACGTTAAAGAACCCCAGGTGGTCAAAATTTCCGGAGCCCTCCACTACGGCGTCTCTTATAATCATATCGTGATTTTGGGACGTTAAACCACACAAATCATCAACATTTTTCGAGCATCGTCAGAAAAGGCAGCCGATCGATAGTAGCGGCTCTCGAGAACACATGAGCTAAATATTATAGTGCAGCATGCGGCCTGAAATTCACAAGTTATCAAAGTGGGCTAAATATTGCTTTCTCTTCTCTCGTAATATGATAGAAGATGCCCAAAAGGCCCTCGTAGAAGGCCATCTGTCAGCTATTGGCTGATCTGTACATGGCGTGCTCGGTTGTTACAGGGATCACCATGGGAGGCCACGACTTGTCCATGCGTGTGTGCGCACACTGAAAAAGCCGCGTATTCAAAGAAAAAAAAACAGTGTTCAAGGTCACGAGGTGCGTACCGTATCTTTCATTGCTCCTGCCATCTCTCCCTGCTTAGCTACTAGCTCTTTTGTTGGGATGAGAGATAAGAGAACGCGTTTGCAGCGTGCAACAAATCTTAGTAACTCCACTCGTACAGTACGGATTCTTAAAATTTTTGCGGCGTTGAATTTGTGAGGCAATAACTTTTTTCGTGAATCCATTTCATGATTACTCAATAAATAAAGTATTTCAGGGACCCTTCAAGAATGAAGGCCGCCAATCTGCATTCAGGTTAATGGTCAATTATGCCTAACTACGCGACAAAAAAAAACGGCGTGCAGAGCGCTTCGTCTTGCATTTTGGCCGATGACGCTCGCAATGGCTAGCCCTTGCTTCAAGCTGTCGCTGCGTACTGTGCTTGGCCAGAAAGTCTGCCGCTCATGCGCAATATGCCTATTCCTGGTTTTGAGGAGCCAGTGGGCGATGTAATTATCGCTTTCAACGAAGCACATTACGGCTAACACACTAACAAGATAAGATGATGTTGCTAACACAGTTCGGAGCCAAGTTAGGCCTAGCCACGACTTCGATCGGCAGTCTCGATTGCGATGTGCTTGGCCGCAGGACCTGACAACGTTTTCAAGGTATCCATGCTTGATTGCGAGTATGAAGAGTTGTCTTATAGTGGTTTTCCGTCCCAAGGTTCGAGTTCTGATAAGCAGCGGGTGCAACGAGACGCCATTACAGTGGGTCTGAGATGCGCGTCTGTGTTGTTAGCAACGAGTTTGGCGCGCTATGGTAATCTGGAAACTGAACTTTTATTTG